CTAAGAATCAATTAAGAAATCAGAAAAAAAAAAAAGTTTCATTGTGTTCTGTTTTTTTACATGACATTAGAAAAGGACAGTATATAATTGTTAAGCTGCTTAAACTGTTTATGACTAAAAAGATATGTCAGGTTGTGGTAATAATGATTTGCAGCTACTTGCGTCGATAAAACAAAGGCTGATGGTACCAGTGACTGTCCATTATTAACGTCGCTTTGCAATCATTCCGTCTATAATGCGCTGATGAGAGATCAGTGTCCCAGATCATGCGGATTTTGTTGATAAGGAGTAGAGGCTTTAAGGCGCTAAACAGTGCAAGTGTATGTTGCTCAAAAAGTCAATGCTGTATCAAACCAAAATCAACATATCGATTGATTAAATTATAAATAAAATAAAAATTTATTACTTCTGTGTTTATCAAACATAAAAAATTTTTTCTTTATTATTTTACATTATTGGTCTTCAACTATAAGCAGTTTTCACTGTATATAGTTATTTAAAAGCGCAAAAATCTGGACTTGATCAGAGTGCTAAAGAAGAAGAAAAAATGATAATTATTTTTGAGAATCAACAGTGACAATAATTTCTATGCTTATTGACCACAGGAAGTGTTACAGAAATTGTCTGACAAAAGAAAAAACAGTAGATTGTTCTGTAATTTATGTTAACGAAAACTGTTGTATATTTGAGCAGTAAAAAAAAATTTTTTTTGTTTTTAACCTGAAAAAAAATGCATTTAAGTTTTTTCAAAGATGATCAAATATTAGTTGTATTTATACCTTTTAAGGTTTAACATATTGCTCGCGTAATGAAAGGCAGAATAAAAAAAACATGACACACAGCTGTGAAACCAATTAAAGTTTTAGAGCTAATTTCATAATAATACATTTAAGGCATTTACTATGAACAGAAAAAAAAAAACAAAAGAAAAAAATTGAAAGTAAACTTTAAATGTCTAATTATGGCTTTAAAAGAATACCTCAAAAATTCTAGCAGAAGAGTAAATTAGAAAAAACCAAGATTATTTAACAGTTTCTATTGCCTTGTACAGGCAAGACATACATGGTTAGGCACTGCGTCAAAGTTGGCTAGATCAATCTTTTGATATACTAAATCTGTATCTGCAGCATGAAACGACCAAT